TGGGCACACCTTACGATGTGTCTGAACTCCAACGGAGGACTAAGAGATTTTCTCTTAAACTAATTTTTTTAAAAGAGAATGTTTTTTACTCAAATAAACTTAAGAAAGGAGTTGATTCAGAAACATGAACTTGGTCTTTTGCCATATTCTTGTTTAATTGTTGGCTTGAGATCGTGAACTTGGATTCCCAGTTTAACTCCAAGTTATAAATGAAAGAAGCAATGCGTATAGTGATCCGAAGCTTAGGAAGTAAGTGATTCCCAATATACCCATATGGTTATGTATTTATGATATGGATAGATATGCATGCTAGATTGTAGGCTAAGGATCTTTTCAGGAATTGCATGCTAGAATTGTCTGATTTGTATAGATGCCTCCTATGCCTTTTGTGCTAATTGTGGAATCTTTTCCTAGAATTTTTGAACTGTTAATTAGATGCCATAAGGGTTATACATAAATGGAATCTAATATCCTTATAATTTCTTTTTTGGCCATATTAATTGTTTCTTTTCTTATTATACTTTTAGGTACAGACGTTTATTCAAATATCTATGTCATTTTGGATTATGTAAGACATTTCATATTCGTTAGGAATTTCTTGTGATATTAGTAGAGGCTTGTTCGGCTTGCGGGTTTGTAGAAAGGGACGAATCCTAGAAAGAGAGAGTCTAAGAAGTGTAGTATTATACATATGGCTAGACGTATGCATGTGTGCTAGGAGCCTATTGGAGTGATGCGAAGTGATTTAGGAGTCTTGGAACAATCTTTAGAGCAAGCATTGATATGTGGGGAAGGTAGTATGGGCCTATACTACTGCACCCCACAAGATCCATACTTAGGTCAAGGAAGTATTAAAAGAATACTAAGGAAATTGTAGGTGGGTATGCATAGTTTGGGTTAGAACTATGAATTGATGTTGATATATTATTGTTATCTTCCAGTTTCAGCATGGTGACTACTTACGATGGAGGATCTGGTTTTCGTGTGGGTAGTGGTGGCCCATGAGTTTTAGGTCTGAGTGAGGCGGATGTCCACAACATTATGACTGTAGAGGTTTCAGGGTTCATGATTGTGGATTTTTCTGGTATGATCGGTGCGATCACGAATGAGTGAAAGTTATTGATTGATGAATGGTTTAGGACTCTTTAGTCTTATTTGGACGCTAGTTGGACCATGACTCATTAGGTCACCTTCTCGGAGATTTATGATTGTGGGGCTCCTCGGTTCATGGGAAGGAGTGAGCCTATCATCATTATGCATTGGATTGCAGATGTGGAGAGTGCCTATCTCGCCAGTTTTTATTTGGTGAAGGCCAATGTCAGGTTTGTAGTGTGTATGTTGCGCAATGGAGCTTGAGATTGGTAGAGCAAGCTTGTTTAGGACCTCGAACTGCATGTTATCGAATCTATGACCTGTGAGGATTTTCTTAACAGATTCAAAAAGGAGTTTGCACCGGAAATTAAGGATCAACAGTTGGCTCAAGAGTCTTTACCACTGGAGCAGACAACAAAGTCGGTGGCTGAGATCACCGCCAAGTTTAGATAGATAGATAGAGAGAGAGAGAGAGATAGAGAGAGAGAGAGAGTTACTTTGCCCAGAATATGCATCGATAGAGGAGATGAGAATCAATCTCTACCATGATATGTTGAGGATGGAAATTCAGAAATTCATGAGCTTTTGGAGCACAAGACTCTCTCCATTCGGTGGGTGCACCAAAGGATAGAGAGTTCGAGTTGGAGAACCAACAACAGAAACGGAAGAAGAATCAAGTTCACGTATGAAAATCAACAATTCAACAAGATCAGAGTGACTGAAGTTTAGTCAGGAGACCAAGGGATTCATTGAGTTTGTGGTAGGTGTGGTTTGGCTTGTAGGGGCATTTGTCATGCAACTGTTTCCGGGTGTTACAGATGCGGTACGAAGGGTCACTACAGACAACACTATAATCAGATGGAGATTTGCAATGATTTAGGTCATGTTAAGGTTGATTATCCTCGACGAGCGGAGGGGATGCTTTGGACCCAACACCTTTAGCCTGGCAGCTACCGGATGGACGATATGGGACAGCTAAGGTCCCAAAGGACATGATTTGATTTATCATATTTATTTAGTGTGGGCAGGTCCATCATTCGTTGATTTGATAATTAGGTTTCCATTTTGTGTTTCAATATGTAATTGAATCACTTGATGATCTTATGAATGGTGTTTATTTTGATGTAACTCTGATTATGTATTTAAATATTATTCGCGGTTGCATTTCTTGTTATTATGGGATTGCAGATGCAAGTTGTAACTTATTAACAATTGATAGAATGATTGGAATTCCCATTTTTCCTTTAGAATGTTAGTCATGCTTGTTAGAACCAAATGGTGTGGTCATTTGGTTAGTATCGAGCTCTGAGTGTTCAAGGAGACATCCAAGTTTCTTTAATTCGAATTAAGGGAGAGTTGCTTTATTAAAAGGAAGGAATGCAAGGTTGCAAGTTGTCCCAAGACTTTATCAAGGTTAGAAGGTGGCAGCATAGGATAGGGTTAGTGATTAGGCTCGGGTCGAGGGTTGTGTTGAAAGCCTTTATGTCTGTTCTTTTTGATGAAGGCGTTGGGGTTCAAAACACGATTCAAGCACATGATGGGTTCTTGTAGACTAGGGGTCCATTTTCTATCGTTGTATGGTAGATTGTATTTGTGTCTCTTGTATGAAAGACTATGGGAGAACTAATACAGGAAATACTGCAGGAGGACTATAGCAACGGTAGTGATTGTTAGAATATTCTCTTTATTCTTTTATTAGTTCAAAGGGTACTCTTATGATGACTAGTTGGAAGTTGGCTCGAGCACAAGAAACCTTTCGGACATGCGTCAAGAATGTAGTTCCTTTTGAAATATTCTAGAGGGATTGATCATAATACACGCTTGATAGTGGTTTAATAGTGTTTTTCATCGAAGGAACTGGTCGGCATTTATGTCAGGAGGTTGATTGTCTGTCTTAGAGTGCGTTTCAATTGGCTTTAGAAGTTGGGCAATGTTGTTGGGCACGTAGTCCATGTAATTATGAGTCATGGAGCTAATCAGTTAATTAAGGAGTGAATTTTGAAGGTGAAATTCTTATAAACGGGGGAGAGTTGTAACCTGTTGTTTTTCGTGTTATTATATTTATAAGCGTTAAATAAATAAATATGGTGTTTACGCAATTAAAAAGACAAGTAAAATAAATAATTAATTACAAGAAGGAATAAATGATACAAATATTAGTTTATGTGAATTAATAAATCTTAATATTCTTTAAAATGAATAATAATAATGATTTTAATAAATAATTAAATCATGGGGTTTTGTGCTAATTCTGGAAATTAGCCTTGTAAATAAAATGTTGATTTGGGGCAAATTTGACAATATGCAACCCAGAGGGACCAAAGCTATCATTTTCATGAAAGTTCCTATATTTTCTCTCTTCAGCATCGCAGGAAAGCAAATTGTCGTTTTCTCCCTTTAAACTTCAAAATCGTACCATGCTTCGCGCCTGCGGCGTTTTCGCCTGATGGTCTTTTTCAGTTGTGTCATCCTCTCCGCTTTTTGTATGGGCGGGTTGCCCCTCGCTGCTACGTTCTGTTAGGCTACGGATTATCGTAACAAATGTAGTAGAATGGAAAAGAAGGCGGGTTACACGTTCCACTGTGCTGAGATTTGTGGTGTAGTTGGCGATGATCGCCTCGGGGTATGCGTTAGCATCCTTGACAAGCAAGTCAGAATCCGCCAACACTTTTGAAAACCCAGGTCGGTCGGTCCTCCATTCATTCGACCGGAGGTGTTGATAACGAGGCTATATATATATATATATATATATATATATATATATATATATATATATATATATATATATATATATATATATATATATATATATATATATATATATATATGTATAAGTTCAATAGAGAACCACTATAAACGGTTCTCCAATGAACCAAATGTTTTTTCAAGTTTTAGAGCTTATTCTTTATCCAAAAAAAACTAAAAATGTCTAAATTCTTATATATTTTTCGGATTCACCGTGTGAATTTAGATTCACATTGTGAATCTGCACGGATTGCACGGATTCACACTGTGAATTTAACGGAAAAAAATAATTTTTTTATCGAATTTGATGACATTGGAAAAAAGGATAAAATGTTATGAATTTCTGTACTTTTAGTTTTTTACTGATAAAAAATAAGTTGTAAATCATGGTTCTTTATTAAACCTCACCATATATATATATATATATATATATATATATATCTATATATAATATATATATATATATATATATATAGATATTATATATATATATATATATATATATATATATATATATGTGTGTGGGAAAAGTGAATATACCCTTAAGGGTATATAAGATTTGGTACCCTGATTAAATATCCGACGTCGTTTTAAGTTACTCGCACTACTAGAAAAATAGCCTTTTACGACGCGCAATGTGTGTCGTGAAACGCTCAGACGACGCGGAAATGCGTGTCAAGGAAGACCCTGTCATAAGGAGAGACGACGCGCTTTTGCACGTCGTCTATTTACGACGCGCATTTACGACACACATTTACGACGCTCATTTACGACACACAATGCGTATCAAGGAAGGCCCTGTCATAAAGAAAGAAGACACGCATTTGCGTGTCGTAACCTTACGATGCGTGTTTAGGACACGCATTGTATATCATTAAAGCCCCTGTCATAAATGGAGATGACACGAATTTGCGTGTCATAATTTTAAATGTTTTAAAAATATATATATTTTTGATAGAATTACTAATTTTCAAATTAAACAACAGATTGAAATTATCATAATACAAAATAAAATATCATACATAAGAACGATAATTCATTTAAAAAAATATCACATGTCAAACAAGTTACCTAACATTACATGTCAAACAACACTACATGTCAACATTAATAACACTTTAAAACATGTTTTTCCTACATTTGGAGCACCCACTATTCCTATATCAGCAACCACCTTTAGGTCCAATTCGAACCACCTGCAAAAGAACAACATTGTAAAAGAACAACATTAGAAGACAATATTTACTTGATTTGATGATTCAACATTATTTGCCCTTGGACCTATTCCTGCTAAAAAGATACATATGAGAATATATATATATATAATATATATAGATATATATATATATATATATATATATATATATATATATATATATATAGCTTATGTGAAGGAAAATTGAGTTAACTTACAAGCATGAATATGTATGTTAATGTGCCTTGGGATACTTCCAATTCCAATAGGACTATATGCCCAGGGTTTGCATTTGCATGACTATCAAAAAGAGATCTCTATAAACAGTTTCCTAATAAAAGAAGTAAAAAAATTAATTATTGACTATAAACAGTAAAATATAATAAAGTTTAATATATACCATTGTGTAAGTATTTAATCGTGTGACATGAAATTCGCGTTTAGATAAGCCATTTTCTGAAAGAAAGAAAAAGAGAAAGTAATATTGTGAAAAAAAAGATTATTGAATAAAATTTAGATATAAAATAGGGGTGATAATTGATAATTTGATATGATACCTAAGTCATGACTAGCTTTTTCAGAAGCAGGATATAGAACAGTGCAATTTTCATTCCCATGATTTGGAAGCTCTGAAGCAAAAACCTTCCCAGTTGTTGTAATGGATAACACTGATTCTTGTACAATGTAATGGAATGATTCATTACATTCCATAAGCCATATTTCATAATCATGTTTGGTTGGCTAGTGGAATGGAATGAACCATTCCATTCCTTTCCCGAATCAATCATATCAAAAACTACCTTTTGATGGGACAAATGCAACATCAATGGATTGAGCTTCATCAAATATGCTTGTTGTACCAGTTCCAACCACAACTATCTTCACACTCGGGGAACCAACACCTCTAGGAATCATGAAGAGTAGAAAGTTATAAGATTGGCATGTGATAAGAACAACAATAGGTGGTCGCAATGGATTGATCTTCATCAAATAAGATTGTATATTTGCACCTTTAATGAGAAAAAAAAAAGAAACATGCACATGCCTGATAAGATTGTTGGTTCATTCTAGTCTAATGTTTAGCACTTTCGCAAACTGTTTTAGGAACAAAATCAAGAACAAGATTGAGGTATAACTCTTCTTTATCAGTGGTTGAAAAGAAAGAATGCTTCAAGGCCACAACATTAGGGTGATCCAGTATTTGCATGATTTGTAGCTCCTTGTTCTTATATCTCTTATATTGAAGAACTTTCTTTATCGCAACAATCTCTTCAGTCTCCCTACATTTCGCCTTCGCCAAAAACAAAATCAGAAAAAGATATAACGAAACTTTTTTTTTGCATACTTTCATGTTGAACCCAGCATTAGCACTTGTATCAATGAACATCACATTGAGCTCAATAGCTTTGGCTTCTCCTTCCTCTACTTACACTTTCCTGGTGAATACTTTTTTTAATAAACACATTTATATTTCATACAGATAACAATTGGAAAGTACAATGCTCTGAAAGGAATATGATCAACTTTTCTCCACAATGTTAGTCTTGTTCCCAACCATAACAATAATAACATCACTACCTCTTTCTGCACGCACTTCCTCGATCCATTTTATAGTGTTAAGAAAAGTTTGTCGACCCAATTATTAAAAAAAAGATAAATTTAAAATATTGAAAAACTGGGTTGAAAAATGGTAATTGAATTATTTCATACTTGAAACATCATATGTGATAACAGCAACTGAAGAATCCCTTATGTAACTTGGAATGAGTCTCCTAAACCTATCTTTCCCAGCTGTATCCCTGAAATAATGTTGTATAATTATAATTATCATATTCAAAGTGTAAGATAACATCAAGAAAAGTAAAATTTTGCACTTTATAACATCTTACCATAACTGCAGACGAACTGTACGATCTTCAAGATACATTGTTTTAGATAAGTAGTCAATCCCAATGGTTGCCCGATCAACATAGAAGTTGATTTAGTTTAAGGTATATCAATTAAGCTTGATTTCAAGAGAGTGAGTTAAAACTAACATTTAATAGAACAAAACCATTGTTTTAACTTTGTGATGATCTCTTAAGAAGTCTTTGAAAACAGATTGTTTAGTCAGTTAGAAAGGATAACACAGTAGCTAATTGGTCTCACAAGAACAATGGTACAGGCAAGTAAGATATATAGATGATAAGATACTATTTTAGTAAGTGGCAATGGGTGCATACATAATATGTGCTATTAAGAATCAGATATGCATTTTGATTTTGAAACTAGAATAACAGGAGTTGGTTAAAAGATGTAGAAATATAACCAGTAGAAATCTTTCTGATGATCTGATCCGCAAAAGTCAGAATCCATCTCACATATTGGAAAGGAGGTGGGTAGTGTAATAAATTGATATATTGTGACTAACATGAACAATAAAAGTGTTTGACTAAAAGCACCATAAACAAGATGCTAATCTCCTCTGAGCCTGATCATATGGTTAAAGGAGTTCATAGATTATACCCAAACAAGTAACACAAGAGTAGGATTCTAGATCATGATACCGCACCAATACGGTGACATGTCACTGATAAAAATTGGACTATTGATCAACAACAAACATGATAGTCCAACTGGAACCCTAATCAGAACCAAATATTTACTATGTATGCATAAATTTTCTTTATGAATAGATGGGAATCAGAGCATGGAAACTTTAGCCAAAACCATTTATAATAAACCTTAATATGTATGTCGTATATATTAACACTTAAAAAAGAAAATGTAAGATATCATAACTGCATGACAATTTAATCTTATAGTTAGTTGAAGTGTTTGAAAGGGAATCAAAATGCACTTTTGGTTGTAATTTTTCTCTCAGGCATTTCATCATATAGTTGGCAAGCCCTAATTTGAGATAACCCATAAATAAAAATCAGTAAAAAAGGAAAAGGAAAATAAAAGAAATACCAAAGTATCCAAACCTGGGTAATTAAGAAACCCTAAAATGATTAACATTGGCCAAAAACTCTAACATCGGAAATATAAATCAATGAACCCTTGGCGGTCTGAATCTTGAAGAGTTAATACTTGGGTGGCCTTCCATATCACGGTTCCTTGTTTCATCGATGCCTATACATTCGAACAGAACACATTACATATATGGTGGTGTGATTGACGTCTAGGGTTCTTGAGAGAGAACAAATGATTTTTTGAGAAAGCATGTGAGAATGTCTTTGAAGATATTATGGAGAAAAGAATACGGAAAGAAGCAGGTCAAGGAATAGTGCAAGAACACTGTTGCTAAGATTTGACCTTAGGAACACTTTCTAACATTTTGTCAAATGTTATATTGTATAATACTTCACAAAGGAAAAATCGATAACACCAGGTGAAATCACAACAGAGATGAAGCAGATGAATGGAAATCAGAAGCCTTTTTTCTTGATTGAGATGATGAAGTCGAGAGATGGAGTAGGGTAGAAGGGAAGTGAACCGGTGAGCAAGAGTAAGGGGTGTACTTCGAGGAGTGCAAGAGACGGAAGAGGAAGGCGAAGACGGATATTGGGACGACAGGCGAATGCTCTCGGCATCATCGTAAATCCGATTCACATACCTGTTGAAGAAGTAGAGAACGTTGGACCACCGTTCGCCGGAAGTGAAAGGGTAGAACGGCAATGAAAACATCTTCTATTAACGATGACAGATTCAGAAAACTCAATCAATCATGAGATGAAGGCATCAAGATTTTCGATGATCGTAAGCTTGGATCTTTGATTTAGAAGTTGCACAACAGTGTCAGGAGAATGAAAGATGCGTCAAAACGCTTAGGGAAAAGAGGGTAGCGGGCTTTTCTAATTTTTTGGCTTTTCTTTTCCCGCTTGTAACTAAGGAACGCGCGTTCATTAAAATTATAAAGCGACACTTATAGAGGACGCGCATTGAAGATACAGCGCCCTCCGTGTTTTTAATTTTTTTTTCTTATGACACTAATTAAAGGGCACGCAATAATGCGTGACCTAAATCCTTAAATTTTCTGAAGAGATGACACTTTTTTAATGTCACTCTTGTTTGCGTAACATAAATCAATGAGTGTCGTGGTTTGCGCGTCGTAAAAGGTTGTTTTTGTAGTAGTGTCGGTCCTTTTTTTCTTCCTCGTACTCACATCTATTAATTGAGCCACCAATCGCTGCATCCTCTGATCGGTAGTCAAGTTTATCAAGTCCCAATTAAATCCTCCTCTTTTTCACTTATTCGGTAACCCGTATCCACTGCTACCAATTCGGTCGGAAAGTTTCGTTGGAAGATTATGTTGGAGGTGACCGTCGGGGATTTGAGTCAACAATGTCTAATTCGATCGTCTAGCAGGTATTTCCAGGAACAAAACTCAGTGATTTTATGTTACTGATATCATTTCTAGAACACATCAATTCCTGATTAATCCTACACACATGTTTTTTATTTATTTATCGAGTTAAAGGAGTCACAGTCGGCCATAGTTCCAAGGGTTCGCTATCCTCCTGATTTCATGCCCATGGCTTGTCCAACCAGGTTCTTGAATTGCACTCTTAATCTGAAATAAAGAAATCCCATATTTGTTTTCTTCTTTCCCTTGTACACTGTGTATAGAGTGAGTTAGGTCAGATGGGCAATGTCGAATCAACATCACTACAGGCAAGTCATTTTTACTAGAAATTATAGTATATGCAGCCCGCCCACCAGGTGTTCGATTAAATGCCTCAATGAACTTTTGTGCCAATCGTGTCCAATGAATGATGTATCTGTAATGTTTGTTTGTTTCTAAACAGGAACTTCCAGTTTGGATGCGTCCATATGCTCGTAGAGCTTGGGCTCATGGATTTCATTCAAGAAACCCACTGCCAAGAACATAAATCACACATTATTATTTATTATTTATAATACAAGCAAGTTTGTTTTCACATAAATAAAACTACACAACACCTAGTCCTACGTTTGGTGCAGTTTCTTTTTTACTTACTTAATGGAGAAAGAAGAGAACTACTTAAATATAAAATGTCAAAATAACCAAAGAGGCGAATGAAAACACTATTTACCTTCTTTCAAAGGAGGATGGAATTGATCTGGTCCCCAATTTTGTAATGCCCTACTCATACCAAGACGAATTGTGCCAATTTGACCTGTTTCATTTATTTGCTTTTGTCGCTCAATTTCTGCCCTAGTTGACTTCCTGGTGTTCTTTTCATATCACATACTTCAATTGCACTCAGTGAGGGTAATCCTGGAAAGCATAAAAGTCAAATGAAATTATTGTTGGTAAATTATTATTGAATGTGATTTGTTGTTGCTGTTGTATGTTAGTTAGACTTGGAAGAGGTGGGCGTAAAAACCACCAACCAATTCAGCATTTCATGTCTTTATTATTTCATGTCTTTATTGGGTATGGATAAGAGCAGGAAGGTTTATTATCACATGATCAATATGCTCCAATGATTTGTCTGAAAAGCGCAATGAAGTTTTTATTCTTTTACTTTTGCTTCCTTTTGTCTTCACAGCTACATCAGCTTCAGCATGTTTTGAATTTCCATTGTCTATTGCAAAGATTAGAAGGGTATTTGCGTCTTTTGCACAGAAATGGAAATTCACTAGTCAAAAGTTTACTAAAAACATCATACCTTTAATTGTGGGACCCAGAGTTCGTATGCAATACTGCCCTCTTTATTCATAGTTGTCTGGATTCAGGGATAGTTTTTCGATTGTTAAGTAGAGCAAGTAAAAAAATAAATGATTAAAAGTGACAGAAATCTTTTAAGCCCTGATGTCAAGGGGACAAAAAATGTATCTATTTTCCATTCCCGTTTAACAAATTATAAATGCAAAGTTATTCTCTTGTGCAATTTATTACCATTGCAAAGATCTTGGGTTGCACAGAGACACCAAAGAAGCTGAAGATTGTATTAAATTATGTAATCATGTATTAGTTAGGACACAATTTGTATAGGTTTTCAAAAACTAATTGTATATATTGATAAAAAGTGTATAGAAAAATTATTGTTTTTGGTGGATTGAGCTTGAAATTGCAACCCACTTTACTTATTTATTCGAAATAGCAATGTACTTATAAATACATCATATCATATTTTTATTTTTAACCCACAATAATATCATATTTTCATTTTTAACCCACAATAGCATCATATTTTCGTTTTTAACCCACAATAGTATCATATTTTTGTTTTTTACCCACAATAGCATCGTAATTTCGTTTTCACCCACAATAGCATCATAATTTCGTTTTTAACCCACCATAGCATCATATTTTCATTTTTAACCAACAATAGCATCATATTTTTGTTTTCACCCACAATAGCATCATACTTTTGTTTTTCACCCACAATAGCATCATAATTTCGCTTTTAACCCACAATAGCATCATATTTTTTTTAACCCACAATTGTATCATATTTTCGTTTTTGCCCCGCAATAGCATCGTAATTTTGTTTTTCACCCACAATTGCATCATAATTTCGTTTTTAACCCACAATAGCATCATATTTTCATTTTTAACCCCTTATAGCATCATATTTTCGTTTTCACCCACAATAGCATCATAATTTTGTTTTTCACACACAATAGCATCATCATTTCGTTTTTAACCCCACAATAGCATCATATTTTCATTTTTAACCCACAATAGTATCATATTTTCGTTTTTTACCCACAATAGCATCATAATTTCGTTTTTCACCCACAATACCATCATCATTTCGGTTTTAACCCACAATACCATCATAATTTCGTTTTTAACCCACAATAGCATCATATTCTTGTTTTTCACCCACAATAGCATCATATTTCCATTTTTCACCCATAATGGCAACCTAATTTCAGTTTTGACATGTATTTTCAATTTTAACCTATTATGACAGCCTAATTTCATTTTTGACACGTATTTTTAGTTTTAAC